TTTCCTGGAGCTCACTTGGTAGCCCAGACTGGCCTCGAACTCACAGAGATCCGCCTGCCTCCGCCTCCCGAGTGCTGGGATTAAAGGCGTGCGCCACCAACGCCCGGCATTCATTATTTTATGCTTAAGTTGTTCTTTGTTTTAAATTATATGTCTCTGTTTGGCCTAGTACCACATGTGTGCTCATTCTGTGTGTGTGTGTGTGTGTGTGTGTGTGTGTGTGTGTGTGTGTGTGTGTGTGTGTGTTGTGTAGTGTATAGATCTCATCTCCTGCTCCTCTCAGTTTTCACTCATTGAAGGACACAGGAAGATTTGGAAGGTGCTGCTCTGTGGAATGATCAGAGGTGGTGTTCTCGGTGCAGGTTTCAGAAAATATGAGTGACACTGAGTTCTTGGGGATAGCTCTCAACCCTTTAGATTGATGGCGTCCCCATGCAGCAAGGTGTCGTTGGAGCAGGGCCTATCTAGCTCCAATTGGGGGACTTGTACGATGGGGTTTGGAACCATGCAGGGAGTTGTAAGAAGAGTGGACCATTTAGCAGAAGCCTTGCATCAAGCAGAGGGTGTAAAGGAACAGAGTGCTAGAGACAGGCAGCTGAATGACTGCATTAAACAGTGTTTCGAATGGAGATTTTATCTTTTTCTTGTCCCATTTTATTTGTAGTAAGAAGAAATTTCTTTCAAAGCATCTGGGCAGCACTGGGAATTTTACACCCATCATTAGAACGATTTGTGCGCGTGTGTGGTGACTGTGTTATCATTAGTGGTATAATTTTATTTTGCAAAGAGAGAAGTGTTTCCTGTTTTATCACAGCTTTCCCTGAGGAGGGCTGCTGTATTAATTTGCTGTCTTGCCTCCTGGCTGTTCCCAGGCTGTTTTTCCTCTTCATCATGGAATTTTTAATGGCCCTCATGCCTCTTGGGAAGCATGTGAGGGAGAGTTCCTCAGGGAGTGCTTCCCTTTTTTCACATGCCTATAATTACTCTCCTTTAAGAGCACAAAGAGTCTGATAATCATGCCTGGGCTCTGAAGGTTCCCTCCTGTCAGGAATCTGAGCTGAGCTACTTCCTTGCTGGACACTGCCGGCTGCACTCTGCTCGACTTCAACATCCGAACATGGCCACCTCAAAAACCACAGACAGCTTGGGATTTCAGAATAAGCTGAGGCCACTGGGGTATGGTGAGTGACCTCAAGTATGTAGTTTAGCATTTCACGATAAGCCAATAAACAATGAGACCTAATTTAAGGTAACACTCTATGAATGTGTCATTTAGCAGGTGGAGGGGGCAGGAGGGAGACTTTAGTGGTCATTGTACCATTCAATAAATCTGTAGGTTCTCTCTAGAAATGCTTCAGTTTAGTGGTAGTTTTCAACCCTGACTCTGCTTGCGAGTTATCTGAGAAGCCTTAAAAAATGTATCATAGGTATAGGGAGAGGGCCTCATTGATAATGTGCTTGCTGTACGAGCTTGGGGACCAGAGTTGGATCCCTAGCACCCATCCTTTTCTTTCCTTTTTGTGTGTCTAGAATCTCAGCACTGGGGAGGCAGAGACAAGAGGATCCTGGGGTTTGCTGGCCAGACACTCTAGCCAAATCAGGGAGCACCAGACTCGGTCTCAAAAGTTGGAAAACAATTGAGAAGACACATAATACCAACCTCCAGTTTCCGTGCTCATATATGTGCACCTGCATGCAAATGTACAGACAAAAGCAAATCTGTGAACACACACATGCACACGAAAACAATAGTAATGACCATCCAAGCTGAGTCTGACTTCCACGGATCAGTTGTTGGTGGTGTGGGGAAAGGCCCGGGCATTAACGTGATCTTAGAGCTTCTGAGGTGACGAGTAGGCAGCCAGAGTTAAGAGCTATTGCCCTGAGTCCTGGTGGTTCCATGACTGGCCCTTAGCAGGGCACCTATTATGTTACAGGCTCAGGCTCCATGCTTTGCTGTTGTGGGCATCATTCTGCATGGAGGCAGACCACTGGGATTCCTTAGCTCCAGAGGAACTGACTCTTCCGGGTGAAAGAGCCGCTATCTAGCATGGCGGGCAGCACATAGCTGGAGAGCGAGGGCAGGCACAGTGTGGAGGGCTGCATACGCATTTGGCTGGGTGTCCGGGTGAAATTTATACCGCCGTTTCAGTTTAGCTTTGTTTGCTAGCGTGCCAGCATTGGCATTTGCTGTTGAAGTAGTAATGTGCAGGACTCAGAACTGCTGCTATTCAAACAGCAGATGGGGTGGTTGATGTTCTGCTAGAGGCCGTGGTATTGTAGGCAAAGTCACAGTGAGACCAGAGCTGCAGGCAGCTTTCCCCAAAATGAGACTGACCCGAGGAAAAACCTTACCATTGTCACCTACAGAAAACAAGTAGAGACTACCAGTTGCTGCGTCTCTCTTCTCCATGTTACTGGCTGACATTGTTACGTGCTTTATGGCAGTCCTCAGTTTTCTCTAATTCCTCTGTCCTCCCCCTGTTTGGGGTGGTGATTTAGAAATGTCTCGATTTCCAATTATTCTTCAAGTTCAGACATAGGAAAACACTGTTCTAGTATCCCCCACCCCCAGTTGGCCAGTTTCCTTGTAAATAAGCTTTTTAATTTGTGAAATCTTATTTTCGGCTGAGTAAGGATGGCAGGTTCCCGAGCATGTATTCATATAAAAACCATGGATTTTAACGAGAGCACAAAAGTCTCAGCGTCTCCTGTTGTTGTCAGTGCTCATGAGATGGTGGGCGTGGGAATTAATAATGCACGGAGACTCCAGCCAGAATCTTGGGTTTACCTGGACAAACACTTAGCCTCCTTGTTCCCCAGTGTCTACTTGTTTAAGTGGAAAACTTTTCTTACTGGATTAGCAGGGATCGAAGTGAAAGGATGTATGTAAAC